TTAAATCATGCCTTTCATCCTTGCACATTTAGCAAGGAAAATAGTGGGCATGGAATGTTGCAAGTAAACCAGACAATTAAAGAAGAAAAAAGAGGAATGGAAGAATATCTGAACGATAGTGAAGAATATATACTAGTACACCAGGAATGCTTACTGAATATTTGAGTGACTAAATTGTCCTACGAGAACACCAAATGAAGAACAAAAAAATGATATGGGAAGAGAAAGCATTGCATGGCTAGCACATTTTAAAAAATAGCAGGGAAAATAGATACCTTATTTTTTGGAGTATAAGATATACCTTTTTCCCACCCAAAAAGAGGGTGAAAATCTGGATGCGTCTTATACTCCAAATGTTACCGCCTGGGTTGCCTGGAGAAGGGGCAGGTGAAGCGGGCACTGCGCAGAAGGCGCAAGGCAAGGCTGCTCGCTGCTCTGCCTGCCCCTTCTCCAGACAACCCAGGACGAAGGCCAGTCGGTTTCTGCTCCTGGCCGGGGAGACGGATCTGCGATCCCTGCCACCTGAAATGCTCTTTTTCTTCCCCAATTGCAAAAATAGGGCATGCGATCCTCCTGGCCAGATCCTTCTCCCGTTCCCAGCAAACCCCTGCGCCTTTGCTTCCTCGGTCGGAGGTTGATTCCACATGCCCATTTTTGGAATAGGGAAGAAAAAGAACACGCCCTCCTCCTCCTTCTCCATCTTCTCTTTCCTCCTGGCCAGATCTGTCTCCCAGGCTAGCAGCAGAAGCCAACTGCCCTCTGCCTGGGTCGTCTGGAGAAGGGGGAGGGTGAGCAGCAAGCCGCCTTACCTTACACCTCCCACGCAGTGCCTGCTTCACCTGTCCCTTCTCAGGCAGTTCCAGGTGGCGGAGATCGCAGTAACAGCGTTTTCGGAAAGCACATAACTCAAACCGTCCGAGAAGGGGCAAGTGAAGCAAGCACTGCAGAGATCGTGGTAAAGTCTTTTTGGGACACAGCACAGTGATCTCAGCCACCTGGGTCATCTGGAAAAGGGGCAGTTGAAGTGGGAGCTGCAGAGATCATGATAAAGCCTTTTCGGGTGGCAGCGCAGGAATCTTAGCTGCCTGGATATTCTGGAGAAGGGGGAGGCTGAGCAGTGAGCCACCTTGCCTTTCACCTCTCATGCAGCGCCTGCTTCACCTGCCCCTTCTCAGGTGGTTCCACTTTTTCTCCCTCCTCTCCTAAGTATGATCAGTTTCCTAAAAGCGCCACAATCCTCACAAAAGCAGGGGGAAGAAATGAAGGGGGCGAGAGACCTTGCAGCAGACTCGAAGGAGCACCTGTCAGCGTCGGAGATGAGTGACTCCCCCACAAACCAAGGGAAAGGGGTGGGAAAAGGAGCCCCTTTGGGAGGAAAACCGCCAGATACTTCCCCTCGGTTTTGCGCCCTCCTGTTTGTCAGCAGACTCGCTACCAAGCCTCTACTGGCTGGAACTCCGTGTTTGTTTTGTTTTTTTACTTCTTGCTTTCACATGTTTCTTCTTCATACCTCTTTGGCGCTTCAGCTCAAGGAATGGGGTGGGCGGAAGAAAGGCGAGAAGTGGTCCACCGTGCTGCCTTTGATGCCACCCTTCATGGGGGTCTAGTGGGGAGAGCAAGTGCCATGCTAGAGCCCCGCGAAGGGTCTGGGCCCCCGCATCCGGTGTCCCTCCAAGAGGGCTTCCGTGATCCCGCACACCACCAGTGCTGAGCCAGTCTCTTCAAGCAGCCAGGTCCCTCTTCTGCCCCCATGAAAATCATCCCCCATCCCACGCACTCCAGTTAAATCGGGAAGGTGATAGGGTTTGCTTTAAATGGATTAAAAGACCTGTGCTTCTCGTTACCAAAATCCAAGTGGAAGTGAGGATCCCTGCCACCTTTAACCACCTGAAAATGCAAGGCACACAGGCGGCGATGGTCTATGGCAATCCCTGCAGCCTGGAACAGCTGATTGGTTGTCCAGGCTATTTGCTGTAAGAACACTAGCCAGATTAATACCGAGGCAGAAACTTTTTTTCCTGCTTTTCTCCCCTAAAATTAGGGTGCGTCTTATACCCGGTGTGTCTTATACTCCAAAAGATACAGTAATAACAAGATCTGACAATGGTTAAAAGCAAGCAATTTAAAGAAAAAGGGAAGAAGGCAACAGAAGAACTAGTTGGAAGACTAGTGCTTAAGAAGGACTACACTTTAAGAACAAGTATTCAAAACCTGAATTGAGAAGACAGCAACAGACAGCAAGTGCCATCTATGCAAAGAATCTGAAGATACAGTAGACCAAGTTAGCTCCTGCAAGAAGATCACACAAAATGACTACTAACTATGGTATGACAAAGTATTAACAAAGGTGCATAGGAATATCTGCAAGAAATACCATTTGTCTGCAAGCAAGCACTGATGGGACTACAAAATAGACAAAGTAATAGAAAATGAAAAAGCGAAAGTGCTCTGGGACTTCAAACAGACATGCATCTGACACATGACACTTCATATTTAACAATTGTCAATATGAAAGACAAAGAGGCCTGTATGGTGGATATTGCATTATACGGAGAAGCTCAATAGAAGAAAAAGCACCGAAGAAAATCACAAAATACAAAGATTTGCAAGTAAAAGTGTTATGACGGTGGCAAAAGAAAGCAAAGGTGGTACCAATAAAAATAGAACCCTTGGATGCAATCTCCAAACACTGAGCACCATTTGAACATCAACAGCATTAACAAAATCGTCATTACTCAACTGCCGAATGCAGTTTTATTTGGAACAGTTTACATCCTGTGATAATACTTTTAACACCATCAAACAACATCTGCTTATCTCAGGTCTTTGAGAAGGATTTAATAGGTGGATAAAAATGCCAAATCCAGTCTAAATATATGACGGATGGATGGTGCAACCAACCATATTATTTCCAATCTTTTGGGTAATTATCTATCATCTAGGGTTCTTGTGTTTCTTACATTTTTTGCTTTTTCTCTTTCCTCTTTATTAATCAGTTTACTCTGAAGCAATCCCAAGATGAAATTCATTCATTATTCTAATGCTATTAAGTATAATATGCTGAACGTGCTAAAAGGTACTTAAGGTGATTCAAATTATTGTTAAGTTTGGATAACTTTAAGCTATGATTTTTATATCCTATTTTCATTTTCTGCTATATTGCTCCTATCTACTAAGTTCAACTATGAGCATTATCATATATATTTAATGATTTTTACTGATTCTTTATTGAAATAGAGGAGAAAATAATTGATATTCCTGGGTTGGTTGTGGTATTGTTTCTGCAGAATGAGATCATAATGTAGTCTGCCAGTAGTTTATTATATCAAGATGTACGTTTTGGCTGCGTCCCTAAATATAGATTATGTTCAGATCAAGCCATTATAGATTAATCATTAATTTTTATAAATCCATGCTCATAAGTAGGTGTTTATAAGAATATACCTTATGTCTGGAAATATCACCCCATTGATTCAAAGAAACAACTCAAAGATACACATACATGTAAACGTCTAGTCACTCAAAATCTCACCCTACCCAAATAATCATATTAAGATGATTATAAAATTTTCTGCCATACAATTGTAATACAAAGAGGATTATATTATATTTCTCTCTGATTTTTTCTATATAAATTCACAAATAAGTCAAAAATTATTGCAACTCAATAATATTTACTTACATAAAATATATTTGAAAGGATTATTTTGATTTGAATTGTAACTTTCATTTTTTTAGAAAGCAGAACTCATTTTTCCTTATAAAGTTTTAGAAGTATCATCTGCTGATTTGTTTATTTCACACGTTAGAATTATTACAGATGATGTTCCCCAAGAGCAGACATAGAAAACTTTTTCATTTATATGATAACAGCACCAACTGAATATTCATTTAAAGTAATATCCTTCCACCTAAAAATAGCTGATGTGTTCTTTTTTCTTTCTTTATCTGTGCATACAGCTCAGCATACAGAAAGAGGAAAATTTGAACCTCCCTTCCTTGTGCTCCAATCTGTCTCCCCTGCCAGTCAGCAGGATGTGGGAGAATGCATGATTGAAATGAAGAAAACAATATGTTGTATTATCTACCCCACTTGGACTGTCAACAAACTAACCAGTTATCTGGTGAGCTGCCAAATCCCAATTGTGCTGGGATAAGATGATACTCAAGCAGCATCTCTACACATGCCATTTCCATTATACAATTGTGGTGACAGAGATTGGAATTTGAAACAGCAGGACAGCAGAAAAAATAAGAATCTGAGACAGGCCATTTATGCAGCTCATGTTCTGTCCAAACATATTCTCTTATTATAGAATTAATAAGATAATTTGATAAAGGTTTATATTACTTTGGCAATTAAAGAAGAAATGCTAATTACTTTAACAATATGAACAATGTGTCCAGGTTTCAGAAATAGATTTCTATTTTTATTTCAAATGCATATGACTCTTTTCAAATTATGTATGCTCAAACAATATGATGAATGTTGTAGTTTAAGATTAATATAATCCATATAAGTAATTATATATTATAATTTTAATAAATATGCTACTTCAAATCTGGATGTAATTAGTGGGTAAAAAACAAAATAAGCCTAGTCTTCTTATATGTATAAAAGCAGTTAAAAGAATACAGAAATTAGATTTCTATCAATCTATACCTTTGACATTTTTTCAGATAATAAATGCACTGTACTTAAAAGAAAAGCAAACTCCTCACCCTCCCCACTAAATTTACCTTTAAAATTGGAAGGTTGTTTCTTCTTTGTTAATGGAAGCAAGCAAGATTATCTTGCTGAATCTTGCCAGGGTTGGGAAGAACTGTAATCCTAAATTTAGGACTGCATTTCTTTAGGTATATATGGCAGTATACTATATATAACCTGACATTAATTACATTCCTGCACTTAAATCTTTTGCTGAAACAGTTAAAATCTGTATCAGAAATTAAACAATAAAGAGAAAACAATTAATGACCATAAAGAAAATGTCACTAACCCACAACTTGAACCATGCCTCTGTTTTTCTTTGAGTTCTTGCTTGTCTTTATATCATGCAGTGCTTTTTCTTTGAGTTGAAGCTGACAAAGCATGTGAAAAACAAAAGTGATTTCTTCAGTGAAGGTATCCAAGTAAGTTTCATTAATAAATTTCAGCACAGAAGAAGAATCAATAATTCCACTTAGTATATATAAATCTTCTTTTATCATTGCACAGAAGGCAGGAATGGAACTATTGTAATTATGAACAATCTTTTCAAAATTCATTTCATCACTCTTACCCTGAGCACATTTTTGCAAAAGATCACTAACCAATTTTTTCTGCATTTTTTGATACTTGACTAGAACTTCAGATTCAGGATAAAGAAATAAGAGTTGCTGCAGACACTGGGTTTTAAATTGCAGTTGATGTTGTAAAGTACCAGTTTTTATTTTTTGATTACTTTGCAATTGATGTACTAAGTAGCGTCGAAGATGTAATCTTATATCATCCCAAATGCAATGAACATCCACTGCTGTATCATCTTCAATACCATGAATGGAACTACTGGATACAAATTCAAAAGATGCTCCACTTGGAGTACAGGGAAATAAGACACCACACTGATTGGAGAGTTCAAGGAGAAATTGAAGAATTATTTCTTCTTGATTTTGTTCATTCTTCAATAATCTTTGCTACGAAAGGATAAATGACAGGAGATATATGTAACACATGAATAACTATTTAAAGTAAATAATACTTATCTTCAAAGGCTTCATCATTATCTAGATTTTTTTCCAAATATATAAATTTCATTTTTATTTTGCAAGTACATTAAAAATTTCCAGGTTCTCTTCAGTGCATATTTGTAAGAAAAACAAATTCCTCTCATCTTTCTAAACCAGCCCTTTTGGTATGTTCTTTTCTTTGAGTTGCATTGCATCATGAGATAAGGGAATGGCAGCCAGGAGGCAATGTTTTTTAACTATGCTCTGGCTTTATGGAATGTCCTCTCCTAGGAACTAAGACTCGTGCCATCCTTCTTAAAGCAGTTTGGGGTAGTAGTTAAGGTACTGGCCTAGAAACCAGGAGACTGTGAGTTCTAGTCCCACCTTAGGCATGAATGCCAGCTGGTTAACTTTGGGCCAGTCACTCACTCTGAACCCAACTCACCTCCCAGGATTGTTGTTATGGGAAAAATAGGAGGAGGGAGGAATATTTACTGTCTCAAGTTACTTATAAAGTAATATGGGTACATAAAAATATAATAAATAAAGCATATTCTAAAAGCTGATTAAGATCAAAATTGTCCATGGAACATTGAGTGACTAGTTTTCACTGTTTTTAAACTTCAATAAGTAATTTGATGCACTTTTCTTGTATTCTGATTAGTTGTTTTTTCATTATTATTCTACATTGCATAAATTTTTACTTTAATAATGTTTAATTTAATAATGTTTACTGTGGACATTTTAATAAGAAACATGTTTTACTGGATTACTGTAAACTGCCATTGTGGATGAGCTCTGATAGGATAGATTTCATGATGGCTTTGGCCCTTCATGATGAGCTGTGGCCCTCCATGATTTCATGATGGCTTTCAATACCATCAATTACAGCACACTTCTGAACTGGCTTACAGGTTTGGAAATGAGGAGCATTTTTCTTATAGGTTCTCATCCTTCCTCCAAAGTTAACTGTAGTCTGGTGGAGGAGAGGGGGGGGGGAATCTAGCCATAAGTCCCCTGATTTACAGGGTGCTCCAGGCTCAACTCTGCTCCTCATTCCTATTTACCTCTATATGAAACTAGTGAAACAGGACATTTATCCACACAAGTTTAAGTATCATTAGCATTACGTTTTTAACTAATTACAAATTTAATCTTATCTAAGAACAGGTTAAAATATTTGTAGCCTGGATGCAACTGATTATATCAAACAGTATTGATCTACCCTCAAGACGTAAGTACTCAAATGAAAAATCTTACATGACTCTAAAATTTTCCATTAAGATTGAAAACCTGGTAAACTAGACATTATTGTCCAAAATTCTACAGTGTTTTGTTAAACATACAAAATTCTCCATTTTTTTTTAAATTTAACTGCTTTACACTAGCAAATAGCAACTAAATTCCCAAAGGAGGCCAAGTGTGCTATAAAGCTTTTCTATCACAAACATAAAAAGTAGCATTTTCACCAGTGTTTGGAGAAACTTGATTAATTCTCCTTGATTGGTTGAAGAGAATTTGGTTGAACTGAAATCATGGTTATTTAGCCAATGAAGAAAACTCGTTGTGTCCTGCAGCAACTCATCAGAACAAGTTTCATTTAATTCCAGTTGTAGTTCCTTAAGGCATTGATCCACACTAAACCAAAAAGAAAAATAAGTATTTTAATTATTTTTAATATATTACCTATTTTCTGCAGAATGTCAACATTTTATGTTACCCTATAATTTTATTATTTAATGTGTCATACAAGAATAATAATATCGTCACTTTATAATTTTAGAAACAATTGGCTATATTCCCACGTGGGCATCTTCAAGATGTCTGGATTTAAATTCCAGGAATTCAGTTTGTCCATTAATTTGGGAAGACCAATGTAAGTAATATGTGTTTAGGAACATCATATGGAAGTATTTGCATAGAAAGGTTGTATGGATTAGAATAGCATCACCATATTGCTACCATACCCAGGGCTGATTTCATTCCAGAAGGTCAGAAAATGCAGTATCCATTTTTCAAATAAAGTTAATTATGTTTGTATAAGACTACCTTATTGGGCTGTGACATCTATACTAATTTGTCATGTTTCCAAAACTACTGACTTGAATCAAAAAGACTATGCTTGCACAGTTACGCAAAGATAGCCAGAACAAACTTCTGAAGCAGTCATATACATAAGCCTTGCAAAAATTTGGTTGTTCTAACAATTTGAAAAGAGATGTATCATTTGTGTTCTTCTGTGTTTCAAATAACTGTTCTGTAAAGTTCATAAATGAATAAGCAGCATAAATACAGTAATTAAAAACATTTACAAAACTCTTGTCACTGGATTATATACAATATTGAAAAAATAAAACCGCTTACCATGAAGTATTTTTCTTTATTTTCTCATCAATGTCACCAAGTACCTGTTGAACCTCCAGATTTCCAGGAAATGTGTTTAGCAAACAATCCAAATTCAAAGAATCAAGAGAAAAATCATCTCTCCACTCCATTTCTAAATAAATTAGAAAATAAAATGTCATAGGTATAAAAACTTGATTGTAAAATTGCTAGCAAATAAAAAACATGAAAATACTTTCTCTTTTCTTTCCCTCAATGGTTGTTGCTTCTTTTTTTGGGGGGGGATGGCAGCATCTATTCTGCTTATCTCTAGGAAAAACAGGCTGCTTACCTGTAACTCTAGAGTATTTTTAGCAGTCACATGTGAATTCACAGAACAGAGTTCTATATCTCTGAAGATTCCCATTCAGAATATTAAGCCCATTCAGAGGTGGGCTTTGGAGCAGAAATATGTTTTTCTGATAATAAACCATAATTACACAGAACTATTATTCTCAGGAATTCCACCAAATGTAGCCATTTTCTTTTCAAATATATCAAAGGTGTTGCAGTACAATACTTGGTAGAAAACAATATTTATGTCTCTATAGTCACTTGGAGATTACTCTTATAGATGAGCGGACAATATTTTCATGACTACTACCTATGATTCACATATATTATTCAGTTGTAAGTTTAATTGCCTTAAGAAGAGACAGGTACTTATGAGGAAGGAAAACATGGTCTTGTCAACTTTAGCATCAATTATATTGAAGGTGCCATTTATGAGATATAAGCCTAAAATGTTAAGCTGCCACATAAAGACAGTATATGGGGACCTAAATAACAAAGGGCACTGAATGTTAGCTATTAGCATTTACCATATAAATATTTAATAAATCTTTTCCTTTATAACCAAATATTTAACCATAAAGAACACATACATAAAAATGCATATTTTATCATTTTTTTAGTAAAAAGTTTATATAGCTGGCCATCTCAGCCCAGGTGATTCAGTATAATGAACAAGCAGTGGGTAAAACCACATATTAAAAACTATAGATATCAAAAAATATAAAAATCACATTAATAGTAACATGAAGATACAAATTCTAGGCGAAGAGGGAATAAAAATAGCCAGCTCAATAGTGGAGCCATCTAAGCATGTCTCCAGTTTTCTGAGAGCCCTCCCCTCGCTCCTCGAGTCAATAGCCGAGCTGGCAGTTGAGTTCCCCAGACTTATGGTTCTGGGGGATTTCAAC